ATAAATCATGCTTATATTTCACATAGTTTCACACACCTTTTCCCTTTCCCTTTCCCTTTCTAAATCCCTCCCCAAATCCCCCAACCAAACACATCATAATGAGGTACTGAAAGACTCATGTTTGTTGTTGCTTTGGTTGATTTCTTGGTTATGTGAATTTGGTCCTGCAATTAGTGTAATCCACATTTGTCTTGTACAATTTAAACTTAAAAGAAGTTTTAATTATGGTGCTAAAATTGGGAATTTTTGACTACTTGTTTTATAAGATCTGAGCTTCATTTTTGTATTGCCAAAAAGTTTTGAGATGGTGGAACAAGACTTATTACTGTCTAATGAATTGTAATTTGTAATACATATTAGGAGGGTATGGTACGAAGTGAAATATTGCAGATTTATGCATCATTCAGTAATTTTTTTAATTCCAAGTGTGACTTTTCGGTAGGTTTTCTCTAGTTGCAAAGAGAATGTTACCTCAATCATTGTACTGTAATTTTTTGAGTTTCAATTGTTCATTATGCAATGAATAGGAGTGCAGTAACAATATGGAGGATTCATCACCAATCACAATAAAAGAAAAACGAGGATTTACAATCTCTAATAGAAATCACAATTTTCCTTTCGTCAAAACAATAAAGCACATTACATTGATGTGTGTAGGGAGAGCTATTAGTACTTCTCTCTGTCCTTTTCCTATAATTCTATGCAATAGGGGTTGGTTGGATGGGTTGGGTTGGGTTGGGGATTGAAGTAGCTGTCAGGCCTTAGTAGATTTAGAGTTTAGAAGATTATTTCATAATTTTAAATTTTTATTCACAATCTGTTTGCATTTAGCTATTGAGAGAAAAAGCTTGTGGTTTAGTCCAACCTGGTCCTTATTGCTATTAACTCATTTTACTTGTTTCAAGTTAGCAATCGAAGATCGCACCGATGGTTAAATGATCGCCTATTGATGGAACTTGTTCCTCGTTTGAATGCAGAAGAGATTAGAGGCTTATTTGCTCCACCACCTTGGGGTGAGACTGCTTCATTAGCCTTTTAATTATGTGAAAATGGAAACAGGCCAATCTCATAGATCAGTGTTGATCATGGCAGAGGTATAGTGGTTAAGATGAGATGTAGGAGTAATGAGATCATTTAAAAAGTGATTATAATTTTCTTTTTGTAAAATCTGGGGTGTGTGGAAAGTGTGGAATTGGACGACATGGTTTCGCTTTGAAGTCGAAATTGTGTTCGTGAGATCACTTTTAAGTTGGTGCTCCTTTCTTTGCTGTTAGCCTTTCTTTTGTGTTGCTATGTGGTTCGAACTTACTGAGACAAAGTTTACCCATGTGGGCATTACTGTTCTTTCCTCATATATACAAATTTGTATGTACCAAAAAGTCGTTTAACAAATTGTTCGCTCTGTTAAAAAGTTTGCTTCTGAATCTGATGTTATTACTACCACTAAATTTTATGTTTTTTTAACTTTGGCTCTATATTTCTTTGTTACAATTAGAATAAGGGCTGCTGCCTTTCTTGGACTTTGAGTTTTATTGTTGCGAGTTTTCATGTTTTCGTTCTTTATCTTCTTTCTTTTAATATATTTTTTCTCAGTAAATAGTTCGAAGCTGCTTAAATAATAATGTTAAAATTGAGTTATGCTTTTGATTTTTATATAGGTGAAAAACTTCAGGGCTGATGAGCTGATGGAGTTTTACAAAGTGAGTCCGAATTTATGATTCTTCTGTGATTTGAAATGATGAGCCTACGATTTTTCTCTTTAGATTATGATAATGTGGTATTGTGCAGGATTCTTATATTGATCTTTGATAGTATTTATGTATTTAGTTTTATAATAGATCTTGAAGACATTGTCACATTACCTTGACACATACCATCTATATTTGGCAGTTAGATTTGAAACTGAAGAAGTTCCTGCACATAATTGAGAATTCACAAGCGTATCCTGTTTTGTATGATCGCAACAGGTATTTTGGTTTCTTGATTACACCAGTTTCACCTTAATGAGGTACTACATTTTCTGCTCATTATTATATTTTATACCTTCCTACTTGATTCATTTAGAAGCTTTAACTTTTCCATTTATTGGTGGACTGACATGTCATTACAGATGTACCGGGGCTGAAGCAGTTCCCTTGTTAGTTTGATTGCTTCTATTTCTTTGATTTTTGTGTATCAAATTGATACTTGAGATGTGGATTCTTTGTTGCTTTGTTTTAATACTTGACCAGTCTGTTATTTATTGCTTTGTTGTATGTTCTGTTGTGTTAATTATTATTTAAGGTTTGTTATATCCCATTTCGAAACTTCTAGTTTCTATATCAACAACTCATACAAAAAAGTCAAAGATTCTCTTTTCTCTCTACTTTTTGCACATCTTTTCGTAAAAAGTCAAAAAGTCATCCAAAACATATTAATTTTTTTTAGCTCATATTTTAGTTAAATAGTCAAAAAATTATTAAATTAGTCTGTTCTCAAACAAGGCTTCACGTAAGACCCACACCTATATAAGACATTTAACAAAAATTTTGATAAAATTTTTAAAACCTCTAACATTACTCAATCCAACGGATAAGGTTTCATCTATTTTGTCCAACCTGTTGCTGGCGAAAACTATCCTTAATTTGATAAATTTCACACAAATGGGCATCACATATTAGCATATTCCTTGTGTGTAATTCTAAGGCTCTGTTTGGTGTCTCCGTATTTATTTACTAAAGATCCCTTAACAAGTTATCCTCCTCCTCCGTCAAACAGACACCAGAACAAGAAGACCAAGAGAGACCCAAAACCACCGCACCGGACAAAGACGAGATCGATCTCTGTTCAATTTTCTCGAGAATCAATCATGGCGACTCCTGAGGTTTTGCAGAGCGAACACGATCTGCTTCTATCTTATCCTCTATTTGACCATCCCAAAGGTACACAAATAGATCTATTCTTTGTAACAGACCCATCTAATATATATATATATATATATATATGAATGAATGCACTGAGATTTATATATATATATATATATGAATGAATGCACTGAGATTTCAATTTTTTTGTTTTATGGGTCTTGGGACTGTGGGTGTTATGTTTAGACTGTTAATCTTGATGACCCAGATTCTTGATTTTAATTTTCTTTCTATTTAGCTACTCTACATGGTTATTTTTTTTCCATGCAATTTTAGGAAATTTATTGAACTATATTTTTGTATGCCTTTGCAGCAGAGAATGCCAAATCCCGAGGACTGGCAATCGAGAAAAAGATTGAGTTTCTTGAGAGCTTGGCTGGAAAAGTAATTACCTTTTTTTTTTTTTTTTTTCCCTTGGGTTTTTTTTTTTCCCTTCCCCCAACCAAACACATCATAATGAGGTACTGAAAGACTCATGTTTGTTGTTGCTTTGGTTGATTTCTTGGTTATGTGAATTTGGTCCTGCAATTAGTGTAATCCACATTTGTCTTGTACAATTTAAACTTAAAAGAAGTTTTAATTATGGTGCTAAAATTGGGAATTTTGACTACTTGTTCTATAAGATCTGAGCTTCATTTTTGTATTGCCAAAAAGTTTTGAGATGGTGGAACAAGACTTATTACTGTCTAATGAATTGTAATTTGTAATACATATTAGGAGGGTATGGTATGAAGTGAAATATTACAGATTTATGCATCATTCAGTAATTTTTTTTTAATTCTAGTTGCAAAGAGAATGTTACCTCAATCATTGTGCTGTAATTTTTTGAGTTTCAATTGTTTATTATGTAATAAATAGGAGTGCAGTAACAATATGGAGGATTCATCACCAATCACAATAAAAGAAAAAGGAGGATTTACAATCTCTAATAGAAATCACAATTTTCCTTTTGTCAAAGCAATAAAGCACATTAAATTGATGTGTGTAGGGAGACCTATTAGTACTTCTCCCAGTTCTTTTCCTATGATTCTATTTTTTTTCTTAATAATAAAAAAGTCTAAGCAATAGGGGTTGGTTGGATGGGTTGGGTTGGGGATTGAAGTAGCTGTCAGGTCTTAGTAGATTTAGAGTTTAGAAGATTATTTGATAATTTTAAATTTTTATTCACAATCTGTTTACATTTAGCTATTGAGAGAAAAAGCTTGTGGTTTAGTCCAACCTGATCCTTATTGCTGTTAACTTATTTTACTTGTTTCAGGTTAGTAATCGAAGATCGCGCCGATGGTTAAATGATCGCCTATTGATGGAACTTGTTCCTCGTTTGAATGCAGAAGAGATTAGAGGCTTATTTGCTCCACCACCTTGGGGTGAGACTGCTTCATTAGCCTTTTAATTATGTGAAAATGGAAACAGGCCAATCTCATAGATCAGTGTTGATCATGGCAGAGGTGTAGTGGTTAAGATGAGATGTAGCAGTAATGAGATCATTTAAAAAGTGACCATAATTTTCTTTTTGTAAAATTTGGGGTGTGTGGAAAGTGTGAAATTGGACGACAAGGTCTCACTTTGAAGCCGAAATTGTGTTTGTGAGATCACTTTTAAGTTGGTGATCTCCTTTCTTTGTTGTTAGCCTTTCTTTTGTGTTGTTATGTGGTTTGAACTTACTGAGACAAAGTTTACCCATGTGGGCATTGCTGTTCTTTCCTCATATATACAAATTTGTACATACCAAAAAGTTGTTTAACAACTTGTTCGCTCTGTTAAAAAGTTTGCTTCTGAATCTGATGTTATTAGGTGCTTATGAAAGTGCAACCTTGCTTAAGAAATTAAATATATATCACAGATTCAGTAATTGTTTCTGTGGATCAAAATAGGTGTTAATTGAATTTTCAAAGTTGATGTCTTTAAGTATTGGGTTCCCAAGATCAACTTTTGAGCTCATTCCCTGTTTAGACATAATCCTACTATTTTAACTGCCACCGGTCTTGGTTAAAATACTGGTGGTTGGGAACATCATGGTGTTGGCAAAGATGATGTCCAAAATATTTATGCAAGTGAAAAAATTAATGACATGGACTCTGCCAATGATGAGGAAAATAAGTTTTTTGCGGCTGAAAATGCGATCCATTAAATTTCCATGTACAGTATGCCACTAGTCTTGGTGTACTTTTACTTCACATTTTTCTGTCATACAATTCCATAAATTGTTTTGTTGGTGATTTAAGTTGATAGTTGAGACAATTGGCTGAAATTCAGATTGGCTTGATATATCTTGCAACATGTATCCTGATTGATTTTAGTTGATAGATACCATCCTGTATTTCATTGAGTCTTACAACCAATTTATTTTTATTTTTATTTTTAAAATTGCCTACTCCACCTGTGTACTATGCTAATCAAAACTTGAACAGCTTGCCCTACTTTGTAGGCCCATAAGGGCACTGATATTGCTAGAACACATTAAATTTTAGATCACCTGCTAATAGAAGACCTTGAATATTCTTCTTCTTCTTCTTCTTCTTCTTCTTCTTTCAATTATTTTATATTAAATATATTACTTGGCACTGATATTGTTAGAAGACATTGAATTTTCTTCTTCTTCTTCTTCTTTTTTCAATTATTTTATATTAAATATATTTACTTGGCATTTTTTTTTGTTGGACTGTTGATTGGGTTCATTTTACAGGTGATGATGTTCCACTGTCGCCATTTTGCAAGACAAATATGGGAGAGTGGGACAAATTTAGGCATATAGACATGGACAAAGAGGTTTTTCACTTCCCTTATTCACCAAAGCATGTTTATCTGCCACAAAATTCTTACACGATACAGTCTGAGCAATATAATAATTGTTTGAGAATATTACACTGCTAGACTTTAACATGGCTGTTTGATTTGAGGCAAGTAATTGTGCTGCAATTTTGGAATTTAATCCATGAAATTTTTGAGGTGGCTTGGGATACTTCACACTTGGATTATCAGACTACTTCTTGCATGAGATGTTTTTCTTCTTCTTCTTCTTCCTTTTTTCCCCACTCTTGTGTTGCTTTTTATTTGCTCAGTATATGCTATATGCAACATCTTTGTTTTGTCGTGTATGGAGAAAGGAATCTCATAGCAAACCTGGCTGGCATGCATTTATTGTTTAAATTGGAAAGTTTACTTCAAGATTTACTACTTCAGTTAAATGGTATGTGTGGAAATTATTCATTTAATGGGAATTTACTTGAGCATGAAAGATGATTTACTACATTTGATCTACATGCTGTTCAACTTGAAAAATGCATTTTACCATTTCCAAGACAAAAATTGCTTTGAAAAATTTGGTGTGCTTGACAACAATGACGTTATATATATAACATCAGAAATGGCATGAATATGGTGATTTGTAAGCTTCAAGTTGATGACTTTGACGGAGTGGGATTGTGCCGTGATATTTTGTACTCCGTATCTTTTGTGTTGTTTGATTACTTTATGGAAATTGGGAATTGTTACTGCTTATATGGCATGTTGACGTAAGTATTTCAAGTGTAATGTACACACCTACATAATATTTATATGGCTTGGAGCAACTTGCTTTAATTCTTCTAGTTTCTGTTTTCTTTGTGGTAGGCAACCATCATTAAAGCCCTCAAAAACTCTTCATCAAAAAAGAAAGGTCGTGTGGATGCTGATAAGATGGCTGTATTGAATGCATGGCATAGAGTAGATTGTCGAACTAGAGAGGCACTTCGCCGTAGCTTTCTTTCAGACCTTGTTAATGGATATGAGGTAAATCTAATCTCTAATGAATGAAGTTCATGTCTTCCTTTTTTCTCCGTAAATATGCTTGGCTTTCTTCTTCTAATGAAACAGCTGACTGTTTTTGATATTTGGAATATTTATGAATGAGTGTTTGCTTTGTCCTCGCACCTAGATTCTCAAATCTATTAAGATAATCATAATCTTTGTTTTCTGTTTTCTCATCCAAAGACTCTTTTTTCTCTATATATTCATACAACTTTCATCTCCAATCCTATAGTAGGTTTTGTAGTATTCTTTCTCTATCGCAGCCTCCGACATGATATTTTCCTTGGTTATTATCTGATCAAATCATACATCACTATGAATATGGACAATACTTTTCATAAATATATATATGTATGTGCCATATCAATTTCCATTTTTTAAAACAATTTTCATTCCATTTGTGTCATTTAAAGGAGCTATAATTTTTCATCTTTGTAGGAATGCATACGAGCCTTCATCAAGGAGAGTGGAGATATGGAGGTGCTGGAGCTGCATGTTCAAGACCCTTTTCATAGGCTGTTGCTACATGGCGTCTCCGAGGTATATCTTTGAATTTTTGCTTTTACATATGAGAGCCCATAAATTTATTCAAGGGGTTGTCAATATGAAGGTTATATTTGATGCTGCTATCTAGAGCTATATGGTCAGTTACCAACCAAATCTGCAGAACCCAACTCTCTGCAGATCTTTAGAGATTTGTACATCAAGTGAATTGCTATTATCAAATTTGTCATCTTTGAACAAAATCAACAAAGTTTTTTCTTTTCATTACCTAATATTCCTAAAAAATTTGTTTCAACAGTTCTATGACCTTGTCTCAGTAACAGTTCCACAGTCGAAGGGCATGGAGTTAATGAAGATGACGAGGATAAAGAAGAAGAAAGCAGGTTCTGTTGAGCTCCCAAACATTACCCTCTGCCAATTCCTGAGAATGGCAAAGGAAGGGATTTGGTAATTATTAACCGCCTGGAATCCAAGCCATGTAATATTAACCAATCTAAAGCTGTTCATTATCTTTATTTAATGTTTGGGATGTAAAAAAAAGAAGGAAGTTCTTTAGTTGTACCTGTAACAATATCTCATTGACCCCTTCCCTGTTTGATAGAAGTTTGAATGTTGTAATCTTTGCTCGTCTCTTTTTAGATAATGTAATTGATGCTTAGATTTAAAGTTTTATAATTCTGCAGAATAAACTGTGATTTGATTAACCTTCGTAGATTTTGAAATTTTTTTTTGGGTTAAAATATTTCGACTAAGAAAAAGTGCAAGTAAATAGATTGTGAAGTATACACATTTTCATTCTCAAAAAACAAGTTATGACTTTACGTTTCTTTTTTCCCAACAAATATAGTATATATACAATAAAAAATTTGAAATTCTCTAGATAAATTTTACGAGGTTGTGTACTTCCGAAGTTCTTATGTTGATCTAGATGCAAGATTATAACTATATTAAAAAATGTTATTCCATAATCGGGTCAAGTCTTTGTTATAGATTCGTGTTAGGTTAATCTAACGATTGAGATTTGTAGTTGAACCAATGTGTGATTAACATATTATGCAAAATTTTTTGTATCATTTTATTTTAATTTTAAATGATAACTAAAAAATAAAGAATTTGAGATGTTCTTACCAAATATGAAATTTAAATGGACAGACTCAATTTTTTATACGTGCCGCACTCAATCACATTACTCCTTTATCACAACATTTTTGGTCTAAAATGATACGGTGGTGCAAGATGTAGTAATTAATAAATTTGACTATAAATCCCTTTTATCTTCTTTTTATTGTTAAAAAGATTAAGAAAAAAATTATACTTTTAAAACCCCCTCATAATTATAAAATTTTGTATAAAAGACAAAATTTATTATTTAAATATTTTATCAGACTATTATACCCTCAACTATCTCAATCTCTCAAGATACCATGCCTAGGGTTTCAAGATCTGGTATCAAAACCAATGCCGATGACCTCGCATGCCTCTTATCCACCCCGTTGCCTCCACTTTCCACCTTCCACGACATCTACTTCGTAGTTGATGAAAATCGCCGCCGCTACAGACGGCCACCGCTAACCACTTAGTGACTTGTTCTGCTCCGCCTCAGATCGAAGTTCGATCTCCTTCTTCGGTTGATTTCTTCGCTGCTCGATCATCGCCGTTGCCATTTGATCAAATATCCTCACCTGAGATCCATGAGTTGGTCGATTCGCCAAGCCACCGCGATGACCTTGTAGGCCAAATTGAAGAGTAGGTACCATATTATTTTGATATCATTTTTGGAAAGAGCTATTGTGATCCCAACCACATTTTCCTTCATAAACAGTGCTATTGGGGCCATGTACAGCAGAAGGTTCATAGAATTCAAGAGATTTTCAAGATGATATTGATGACGATGAATGATTATATGAGTTGTGGGAGTTCTGATCTGTTTGAGATGGAAGACATTGGTGTGATTGGGGTTGGAGCGTAAATGCATATCAATTGGTTATTTTTTTTTTATTTTTTTTTAAGATCTAAAAGTAAAATTTGACTCTAGTTCATTCATTTATGTATTTTATTTTTTTATAACAGTAAAATTATACTCCGGTTAAAAACATATTGTTTTGCCTAACGATATAAAATTTTACTTCAAATCATAGTAAACTACTTTGAATCAGAGTAAAGTTTATTATGATTCAAAGTAAAATTTTACTCTGGTTAAAAACATGTTAATTTGCTTGACGATATAAAATTTTACTTTGAATCATAGTAAACTTTACTCTGATTCAGGATAAAATTTTACTCTGAATCAGAGTAAAGTTTACTATGATTCAAAATAAAATTTTACTTTGAAATACAATGTAAGGATAGCTTAATAGGAGAGTTGATAGATATGAGGGTAATATAGTAAAAGAAACAAGTTTTAAAATATTAGGGTGTTTTGAAAGTACCTATATAATTCTTGTTCTTTTGAAAGACAAAGACAAATTAGAGAGTGAGGGGTCTATCACCAAATCCCCCATTAGTATATCCATTTTTATTAGAGCATTCACAATGGATGTGTTAAAAATGTGTTATATGACAAAAAGTGACAAAAGTGGAGCTAAAAAAATGTGTTAAGAGTTTGTTAATTTTAGAGAGTGAGTGGTGGTGCAATGAATGTATTAAGATGTGTGTTAAATATATATATATATATATATATAAACCATAAATAAAATAAATAATAGTTGAAAAGTGAAGTGGGCCCCACCCTACTGCACTGTGTCAGCAAGCATCTCACTCTTTCTCTTTCTCTTTTCTCTCTCTCGGCTAGCTAAATGGGTTGCTAACCACTTGACTTCTTGGCATGTGACATGTTTAATGGGTATGTTAACACCTCCATTGCAACACAAAAAGTGATTTTTAGTTGGCTAGGGTTTAGTCCTTGACACTAAAACACTGCTTAACACATCCACTGTGAATGCCATTATAACATTATTATTAACTTCACCTATTATACAAATTATAAATATTCAAAACCTCTAAAATAATGTCACATAATCTGTTAATACACTAATTGATATACCAATTAGTACATATAGCATTATTTAAAATTATATATTTGTAACACTTTTCAGTTTAAAAACTCTCTTCACTTTTTATTTTGTTTTAAACAGTATAACCTCTTCACTTTTTATTCATGCCAAAATGAGTTTTATGATGAATGGTTAAAAATGTATAATTATTTTATTATTTTTAATCATTAATACACTTTTATTAATTTAATTTCCCCACTTTATTTTTAGATGTGATTTAATGATCTAATTTTAATTTTTATAGGATAATTTGCAATTAGGATAAAAGTTGAGGCTAGATGGCAATTAGAGAAAAAAAAGATGCCAAATTGAAATCAAACTCCTGCCATGGAGAGCTGCCACATTACACAGCCAACCAACAAAGTGGATGAAGAGACTTAAATGGTTGAATAGTGCATGCAAAGATCCTATTGGCTGGATGATACTAGAATATATCCAAATTTACCACCCCAGTGACATCTACAAAGTGTAAGGATCCTCTAGAGTGATCTCCAAAAGTACTTAATCCGACGGCTGAGAATGAAACTCACCAAAACGACGTCGTTTTGGTGAGTATTTTAAAAAAAAAAAAAAAAAAAACAAAAATCAGTTTCAGGGATTTCAAAATTCCCCCCATATGGCTGAAGAATGCGAATACAGACGGCGAGAGTGCGAAGGAGTTCGAAGGACAACAAGACGAGGGACGAAGGACGACGAGACGGTGGACGAACGGCGGCGGAGGCAGACGAACCACGACAGAGGATGGAGGACGAAGGACGATGAACCACGACGGAGGACGAACGGGAGCCTGCGACAGCGAATCTGAGGTAAACCTGAAATCGCAAAGTTAGGGTTTACGTTTGGCTTCAATTTTTGTAGACATTAGTCGATTGGGAGTGTTTGGGGTTGGATTTTGTTTGCTATTTGTGTTAGGGTTTGAGATTTGGCTTTAATTTGTGATATGTTAGGCTTTGGGATTTGCCTTTATACCTGTGATCAAGAATGAACTCTGTGTTCACATTCTGCACCCTGTGTATGTTGAAAAATTGAAATTTAAATGACTTTTCAATTTATACCTGGGATTTGCCTTTGTACCTGGGTTTTGGCTTCAATTTCATTACAAGGACATCAGAGTCCCTTTTTGTTTCTGTGTTCACATTCTGCACACTGTGTATGTTGAAAAATTGAAATTTAAATGACTTCTCAATTTATACCTGGGATTTGCCTTTATACCTGGGTTTTGGCTTCAATTTCATTACAAGGACATCAAAGTCCCTTCTTGTTTTTTTTTTGTCCTTAATTTTGGACCAATTTTATTTCCTCAAGGTGGTTTTCAACTTATTTTCCCAAAACCCAGATGGTTTCTTGAAGTCGTGTTTTGGATTTGAAGTTGTGCTTTCAAAAACAATTTCATTGAGTTCTATAATTAGTTAATTGAAGTTGTATTTTGAAAGCTCATGTTTTGAAAAAAAACCAAAACACCCCCTTAGATTTGAGAAAATAAGTTATTAAAGGATACGTTCTTAGAAAATAAGATGCCAAACCACTCAAGTTTGTTAAAAAAGGACGTGTATTTTGATGACAAGATGATGAATTTTATAGAGATGATTGGCATTTTCATTGGAAAAGTAGTGTTCAACTGGTATTACCAAAACCAAACTAATACCACCAAAGTTATTTGTTTTTTAATCTTAAATTTGTGAAAGAAAAAAATAAAGAAAATATATATAAATAATTGAAGAAGCTTTTTATTCTTTATTCTTTATTCTTTTTTCTTTTCCTTTTTCCCCCCTTTTACAAACCCAATATCCTAAGTATTGTTCTACACCCAAACATAAAATAAAATTAAAGATGAAAACAAGTAAAGGTAATGGACAGATTAAACATTGCAAAAGCCTATTGCTTTCTACACTAACAAAGGTAGATTGATAGTTACAAAATTACACTTAGGAAGAATAATTGTCAGAAGCACAGATCCTGAAGAGAACAATTACAAAGACATCTCTGTAGGACTCTTCAGAAAAGATAAACACTTCCAATGAAACCTGCATTGAGAGGACAATGAAGATTGCTTAATGAGAAGCTGAACAGAGGTTGCAATCAAAAGCTCAAACCCAAAAACACAAAATCATGATGTTTTCATTAAACTTCACAGTCGTTCTTGAAGCAACCTTGGCATCATAATCTGATTCTTATTTACAGGATTTCTAGTGTTTGTTTCCTTTCTTTCTCATTTACAGTACAGTATAGTTGAAAAATCATGATGTCTTCTAGTAATAGGTAAAACAGCTTGAGAGATAAAAACATAGGAAGAACGTCATCTTTTACTAATCGGTAGTTGAATCTGTTGGTATTTTTTATGCAGATAATCAAATGGCTTCATCTTCTACTAATAATACGAACTTAAGATTAAAGCCAAGGTTTTGTAATTGTGGAAGAACAGCTTCCGTGCGTATTGTACAAACCAATGCGAATGGAAATGAAGGACATGTCTATTTTGTTTGCCCAAGAAAATATGTAAGTTCCTGTTATATAAATGAATCTGTTACTTTTTACAAATTTCATTTGTCCTTTATTGATTAACTGATTCTTGGCCATCGTAGACTACGAACAACCACTGCAATTACTTTAGGTGGTTCGTAGATGATGACGACGACGACGATGACATTACCTCATCAACTTCAACCAATGCTGGACCTCAGACAGATTCAAGAACAGAAGAAATTAATGATCTAATCTTCTACTAATAATACGAACTTAAGATTAAAGCCAAGGTTTTGTAATTGTGGAAGAACAGCTTCCGTGCGTATTGTACGAACCAATGCGAATGGAAATGAAGGACGTGTCTATTTTGTTTGCCCAAGAAAATATGTAAGTTCCTGTTATATAAATGAATCTGTTACTTTTTAGAAATTTCATTTGTCCTTTATTGATTAACTAATTCTTGGCCATCGTAGACTACGAACAACCACTGCAATTACTTCAGGTGGTTCGCAGATGATGACGACGACGACGATGACATTAACTCATCAACTTCAACCAATGCTGGACCTCAGACAGATTCAAGAACAGAAGAAATTAATGATTTAAGGAGAAGGCTTGGTGAGCATGATAGAAGGCTTCAAAGGATGGAGAAGATGTTCAAGGCAATGACTTATGTCATTGTATTTTGTGTATTTTTGTACTTTATCATGTAAATGACTCAGTTGTGAGGTTTTCGAACATGCTATGAATGTAATCTACTTTTCTACTTGTTTTGTAATTTTTTTTGGTGCTTAAAAATCTGATGGCTTGCAAAAACAAGTGTATAACAGGTTTGTTTGAGATGAAATGTGTTGAATGAACAGTTTGTGAAATCTATTGAGTTATGTTGGTTGCTTAACAATGTGTATTATATGTGATGGTTTGAAAAAAACAAGTAAATTGATTAACAATGTGTTGAATGAACATGTGCTTAATAGTGTATTTTTTTGAACAATGGTTGAACATGTTGAATTGAAATGTGTTCAATGAACAGGTTGAACAAGTTGAATAACAAGGTGTTCAAAGAACAGGTTGAACAGGTTGAAGGTGTATAACAGGTTTCTTGATGAAATGTGTTGAATTTGTAAAGTGGGTATTGATTATGAACAGTGTGTGAAATCTTTTGAATTATGTTGGTTGCTTAACAGTGTGTATTATATGTGATGGTTTGAAAATGTTGTATGAAATGTTCAACGCTGTATAACAGGTTTCTGAAATTCAAGTTGTTCATGACCAACATTTTAACAAAAAATTTATTTCACATATTTATATTGACAAAAAGATGTAAGATGCATTTAGCACTCTGGGAAAACATAACAAATAAAATTAGAGAATGAGTACGGGACCTTGCAGCTTCAAAGATCACACAGATTGCACTTAAACTTTGACATATAACATATTGCACATGATATCCTACTAGATAAACAAAAATGAAAGCAGACTCTTTTTGCTTGTTTTTGACCATGCACAATGACACAGAGCTACATCAAAGTAATTGCCTGGAAATTATGTCATGTCCATATTGATATTCAAGAGAGAGCTTCCCATAACAAACCAAGCAATCATTGATATGAAAAATATATGCATTTTTAATACCCACTATGATCAATAAACCTAAACAAGTAGAGTAAATGAGAACATCAAAGCTGCACCAAATATTACAGTTTCCCTATGATGGTTAAATCCAACAAAAGACGCAAATGGTCTATGTGCACTATTTAACTTGTAAGTAGTGTCAAAAGTCATAACATCACCAAATTGCCCATAATCCATGATCATCTGAGCATCGGCCCAAAATATGTTTGTAATCTGCTCCTCGTTATCTAATTGGATCGAGTAAAAAAAAGATGGATTCTCCAATGATTTGTCACAAAAATATTGTAAAATGCTACCTGCCTCCCCATATGCTAAATTGTTTTGCCTCTTCGTTCTCAAATAATTTTTTTGGTCCAGTTTTGTGAACCCAAGTGACTCCCTTCCACCAACTTCATTACCCAGCTTCATTACCCATGAGCTCAAATGCAGCATTAAGATGGATTCCAGATTTTTCAGCTAAATCTATTTCGGTTGCCTGTGATGCAAATATCTTCCTTTGGGATGGTAACATATGCGTACATTCTGTTGGTACAAAGATATGATTATGTTGTTCAACAAAATCACTAACAAAAAATTTCTGCATATTCCTATCCCACTTAATGACAAGTCGGGCTTGACAACCAGTCCTCACTTCTTGCCTAAGATTTTTTGTTAATGGATCTCGCTTGTCGACAACCCGAAATCCCTCTTTATTGCAAACAAATTGCCTTGAAGTGATTTGCCCCTCTTTGCTCTTGTTTACATAACCCCTTCTAATACTAAAGCCCAACCTTCCTCCATAAGTATCATAGAAATCATATGCTTCTTGTTCTGTATCAAATGCCATGCGAACTCTAGGCTTCCAATCACACTCACCCCCGTCATTCTCATGATTGTTAGGTTCCATATCAATGTGCCAAGTCACTTAAAAAACAAAGAAGTGCTCAATATTAGCATAAAAACTGTAAATTATGTTTGCAAAATAATACAAACTGAATAAGATAATCAACGAATAACAGAAATTAGATAATCAAGGCAAACAAAAAAAAAAAAGGAAATTAACAACAACCAAATGCCAAGTGCAATATGCTATCTTTGTGGTTAGAGTTCCAGTAATAAACTTTATTTCAGGAGGGTCAAACTTTATATTCATATTTTTCAAATGATTCTCAACAATGAAGTGAATCAAGCCTTCAAAAGACACTGCCACTCAATTTCTATTTAAATTGGACAAAAAGTCTAATAAGAATTATCTGTGGACTCCACTTTGAAACGAAATGCTACAAGCATTATCTGTGGACAATTTAACAGCTACAAGCCCATAAACATCATTTAACAAGTCAATATGAATTATCAACACATTTAAACATCACATATTAATCATTTCACCAACTCAAATTTTCATGTTGTTACGTGTTGTGCATCAATATGAAATAAGATAGGTTTAGTTATATAAAAATAAAAAACTAGAGATATATCAGTTATAATTTATATGAATGGAAACATAGCTGATGGTCTAAGCTAGCTCTGATTGATAATGTGAAATGCACAAAATGTAAAATTAGAAGCAGTTGTCATGACTGTTAATGCCAGAATTTAGGACATGTGCAAGACTCAACCAGGATTTCTAAACCTGATGAGATGAACTAAAAGAAGGTAAGTCAGTACCTAAAAATCAATGACCCAGAATACAGTCAAGGGAATTCATTCCAGTTCAAAACTTGTTAATCTTACTCTTGATTCAAATTCCATTTTATTTGACAATCATCTGAACATGTTGACAGTGTTTCCAACTATAAAATTTCATTAAAAAATTCATCTTTTCCCAACAAAACATAAACTTTAATATATCCCCCATTTTTTTTCTAAGGTTGCATATACTGTGTATATATATATATATATCTATTATCACAGGGATTGAGCAATATTCAGCACAACACAGTTGAGGCAAAAAAAATTTGTGGTTGAAAATTCTATATTTCAGCAAGATTCAGCAATATATATCTATTATTCAAGGCTGTATAATGTGTCTGTATATAATATAATCACCTATATTTTCTTTAATTGGTTGGAGCAGGGGCGACGGCCACGGCGGCGGCAGGACAGTGGCGACGGCAGGACGGCGGTGACAGCGGGACAATGGCGATGGTGGGGCGACGGGATGCTCTTCACGACGGCCAACTCTTCTTCGTTCTCTCGTTCTTTCTTTGCTTCTTCCCGCCGTCTATATTCGCATTTTTCAGCCATATGGGGGGAATTTTGAAATCCCTGAAACTGATTTTTGTTTTTTGTTTTTTTTTTCCCCCTCAAAATACTCACCAAAACGACGTCGTTTTGGTGAGTTTTATTCTCAGCTGTCGGATTAAGTACTTTAAGAGATCACTCTAGAGGATTAACTCTAGTGGATCCTTACGCATCTACAAATACACGGCAATCTCATTGAGGCGGAAGATTTTTTTTTTGGGGCGGGGGCCGCCTTTTAATACATATTATTTTCTTTTTGTTTTTATAATGTTTTAATTATTTTAATTTTTTTTGTTAAGGTTAGGGGTGAAATCCTAATATTTTATTTATAGATATTTTATGATTAAAATATAGTTTTTTTTAAGGAATATTTATCAATAAATTCTATCTCATAAACAAGTACTTCAATTATTTCTAATTTTTTTTCTATTGATCTATTAAGTCCTGTTAGTGGAAAACTTTTTTCTTTGTAGTCTTATTTTTTATTTTGGTAGTGTTTTAGCGGATAACTATATCTTTTTATTAACGTGACAAGTATGATGTGATAGCCTAATGTGATAGGTATTAATGTGATACTCTAATAATATGACACTCCAAAAAAATTAAAAACTCCTTAGTGTGCTTTTTCCAAATGTAACAATGTGGTGGGTATGATGCGACACTCCAAGACTTTCACTCCAAAAAAACGAACACTCTTTAGTGTATTTTTTTTTTCAAAAGTGACAACATGGCGAGTATGTGTCATACTTCAAAAAAACTAAAAACTCTTTAGTGTACTTTTTCCGAATATGACAACGTGGCAAATATGATGTGACACTCTAAAAAAAACCTCATTAGTGTACTTTTTCCAAATGTGACAACATGACCGATATGAGTGGCACTCTAAAAAAAATAAAAACTCCTTAGTGTACTTTTTCTAAATGTGACAACGTGGCGAGTATGATATGATGTGACACTCAAAAAAAAAAACTCTTTAGTGTACTTTTTCCAAACGTGACATGTGACATTCTAACATGGCGGATATGATGTGACACGCTAAAAAAATTAAAAACTCTTAAGTGTACTTTTTCCAAATGTGACACTTCAGCATGGTGCTTATGATATGACACTAAAAAACTCCTTAGTGTACTTTTTTTCAAATGTGACACTCCAATGTGGCGGGCAAATGAGTCATTACACATCCAAAAAGACTAAATGGATCACAAAAAAAAATAAATGGGACTATATGGATTACAAGTCTAAAATATGGGACTTATTGGTCAATCTCCTTTTTTTTTTTTTTTTTTTTTTTTTTTTAATGTTAGATTATTTTAATTGATTGGTTTATTTATTTGGAGAAAGTTTTTGTTCTGTATAATATCTTGTTCTATCGTAGACTCAGGGCACGATAGAAGCTTTATATTTCCTGCGAATCAAATAACTAGATTTTTATGGTGTAATCAATTAGTGGAATTATTTTTTATATGGAATAATCGTTTTTATCTACCGATTGAAAATACATTTTGTGTATGTTTCAATTGAGTCATATAAATTGAATCTAAAATATTTTAAATAAAGCATTGGTGGAGGATCTTTGATGCCTTAGCACCCTTTTTTATAATCACCTTATTTTATCTTGTAATTAATTATTTTTCTCAAATTATTCAACCATTTCAAAAATTCAAAACCATATTTTTCTTTACTTTATTTGAGTGGTGGGTAATTATTTTGAACAAACTGCTCCTTGTGGATTCGACCTCGGACTCACCAAGTTATATTATTTCGTGACATCTTGCACTTGGGATTGTAATATAAAAGTCGCAGCAAGTTTTTGACGCCGTTGCCGGGACCTACATCATTGTTAAAAAAAAAAAAAAAGTACTGAGGAGGTTTGCATTGCGATTTCTAGCAATTTTGGTAAACTCGTTCCACTCTTTTTATTTTATTTTTTAATAAGTAGGATTTGATTTAAAAAAAGAAAGAAAGTAAAAGTAATGCTATTGTTGCGTCGGAATAGTGAGGTAGTGTGTTTGCTTGTGTGATTGTGATAATTATTATTTATTTGTTTTTTTACAATTAGTCACTGTTTTGTTACATTAAAATATATATATATATATATTATTTATGTTGTATGCATATTTGGTGTCGTGATCATCTTGGTCAGTTGGTAAGAATTGATTTTGATTCAGATACATTGTTTGGTAATCTCTTTGAGTCTGAATTTGATTTATTTGTACACCCTCACACTTGACATGATATGAAAATCAAATTCAAATAGCTCAACCTGTTCGAACGTGATTATTTGCAATCCACAAGGAGTAGTGCTCCGTCTTGTATTATTTTTCCTCCAAATGCAAATAATTTAATTTTAAACCGGGTATGATTACGTTACTTCCTAGATTTCATGGCCTTGACTTTGAAAATCCTTACTTGCATATTAAAGAATTTGAAGAAGTTTGTGCTACCTTTCTTGACCAAACCTGTAGTGAGGAGACTATAAGGCTGAAGTTATTTCCTTTTTCTCTAAAAGATAAGGCAAAAACATGGTTAAATTCATTGAGATCTAGATCGATAAGCACTTGGCAAGAGATGAAAACTGAGGTAGCGTTTGGCAGAGTTTTCTAAATATGATTTGAGAATAGAGTTGTATTTTGAGTTTGTGAGTTTTGGAATTATGATTTAAGTGTGAAAATTTTGTTTGGTGAAAGAGTTTTGAATTGAGTGGGAAATTTTTGATGTGACATATGATATTTGATACAAAAACTTATAACTCATAACCAAACACACAACTCAAAATTCTATTCAAAACTCATAAAAAAATTTAAAAATTTCAAAATTTTTTTTATTTAAAATATAAAAAATAACAGGTGCCAATTATAGTAAAAAAAAATTACACTGTACTAGTCAACCGGCCGGACATCCGGAAGGATTAGCCTAAATTTTCCCGCATTTGAAATAATTTTCAAAAGTGGGTGTGGAATTAACTTTTGAAAACTCTAAATAAGCACCATACTAAAACCAAACGGTGGAATCATAGTTTGAACATCTGACCAAACACTGCCTGAATTTTTAAATAAAATTTTCCCAATACATAGAACAAATTCTTTGAAAAGACAGATCATGAATTTTTCTCAAAAAGAAAATGAAACTTTTTATCAGTGTTGGGAACGCATTAAGGGTTTGTTAAGCTCTTGTCCACATCATGGCTACGAATCTTGGCGAGTTATTGATTTTTTCTAAGAAAAGTTTGACTCCTCAAATGCGCCAATTCGTAAAGATGACGTGTAACGGTGAATTTTTGAATAAAGATTCGAATGAAGCTTTTGAGTACTTTGATTTACTAGCAGAGAATGCCCAATCTTGGGATACCACTGATACTCTAGGACATTCTAGTAAAACCAAGCCTTCTTCTACAGTTTCTGATGGTGGTAAGTACCAACTAAAAGATGAAGATGATTTAAGTGCAAGAATAGCTACTTTGACCAAAAAAGTAGAGGCCATGGAATTAAGGACAGTTAATGAAAATTTCCAAGACCATGGGACACCTAATACATGAATGTCCAATTATTCCAGCTTTTAAGGAGCTGTTGCATGATCAAGCAAATGCTATAAACACTTTTAAAAAGCCTGTTTCATCCGCCTATTTTGAGACTTACAATCCAGGATGGAGGAATCACCCAAATTTTAGTTCGAGGAGTAATAATGTTGCACTACCCCCACAACCCCAAGGACATTATAAATTTGTTCCATATGCTCCCCCGCCAAAGAATAACCTTGAGGATACATTGCAACAATTCATGCAAGGCCAGATAGTGATAAATAATCAGACATCTCAGGCAATAAATGACGTTAAGAACACTCTCACCAAATTGACATCTTCATTGAGCATTCAAGAAAAAGGTAAATTTCCTGCTCAAGCTCAACCTAACCCACAAGGACAATATGGTGTGAGTGATTCTTCATCTTCTGACACTCAGCTTAAACATGTCAAATCTATTACTGCACTTCATAGTGGAAAAATTATTGATAAAACTATTCCTATGAAGGCCCTAAAGCCTAAGGGTATTTCAAAATCAAAGAGTGGTGATGATATTGACAAGTCCAAGTCAAGTGAAGAAATGAAATGTCCGATTCTTGCTCCTTTTCCTTAAAGATTGCAGCCCCCTTAGATATCAAATCAAAATGCTGAGATTTTTGAGCTTTTCAAGCAAGTCAAAATTAACATCCCCCTATTGGATGCAATAAAACAAATCCCGTCATATGCCAAATTTTTGAAAGATTTGTGTATAGTCAAGTGAAAGCTTAATGTACATTAGAAAGCCTTTTTGACAGAACAAGTGAGTGCAATAATTCAGCAAACTTCCCCACCAAAGTTTAAGGATCCAGGATGCCCTACAATCTCTTGTGTGATTGGGAACTATAGGATAGAGCAAGCTTTGCTTGACCTTGGGGTAAGTGTGAACCTTTTACCATATACAATTTATAAATAGTTAGGCCTTAGGAGAGCTTAAACCAACTACCATTACACTCCAACTTGCAGATCGTTCTGTGAAAATACTAAGGGGAATTGTGGAATTGGTTCAAATAGATAACTTCTATTTCCCTGTCGATTTAATTGTATTGGACACACATTCTGTTTTGCATACACACACAAATTCCTGTCATTCTAGGTCGTCCATTTCTTGCAACTTCCAATGCTTTGATTAATTGTAGAAATGATGTGATGAAATTATCTTTTGGTAATATGACTTTGGAGTTGAATATTCTCAATATTTGCAAACAACCAAGGGATAGTGATGAGATTGAAGAAGTGAACTTGATTGATACATTTGTTGAAAAGCATTTCAATAACTCCTATTTTTCTGATCCACTGGAATCTTCCTTAGTTAATTCTTGTGATTTTGATGAAGATTCGAAAATTGCAACATTTATTCTTTATTGGAATCTGCATAGGAATTGAAAGACTACAAATGGAAGCCAAAGTTTAAGCAGTTGCCAACTTCTGTGAGTAAGTGTAGACCCCCCATTTTTGACCGTCCTCAAGACTTAGACATCATCATTTGAACATTTGATGATCATCCATGTTCGTGTTCGTTTTGAGTTGTCGAAGGTCTCAGCTACGCGCCTTGCCTCAAGATCTCTCAACTTATCTGTTTTGTGCTTGGTTATATACCAAACACTTGTGTTTTTGCTTCTGAGGGCAGGGAATGGCTTGTTGGCCATCCCCACACCTTACCGGCCTTGGCTTGAGGCCACCGGCCCTGTTTTCATGCTACCGGCCAAATATTTTGGTCAGTCGGCATTGTTTTTGGTCGGTCAGCCCATTTTGTTGGTCAATCGGCCATTTCTGCTGGTCGACCCCTTTCCATCTGCTTTTGGCAGATATTTTATGCCAGTTGTAATAACTGGCATCCACAATACACCCCCTCCATACACGTGTATGGAGGGATTTGCCTCTTGGTTAGCTTCTCTTAGAAGCTTTAGAATTGAACCTCTATAAGAGGAGGGCTTCTCCTCCCTCCTCCAGGGTTTAGAGAATTAGGGTTAGAGAGTGAGATACAACTTTGTATCTATATTCCCTTATTTGATCCCATTTTGTGCCTCAAAAGTGAGTTTGTGTCTTATTTTTGCACTTGAACACCTAGCATTACACTACCCTTGGGTTGTTGAGGCATTAGAGGGTTGTTGTTAAGGTTCTTGAACTGATTTTCATCAGAGAAACCTGCTGGAGCTTGGTTCTTGAAGAGGTTCTACAAGGGTGAGTTCCTTGCTTTAGATTCTCCTTTTTTGCACAAGCTTTTAGCCTATCTTGCATCTATTTTTAAGCTTAAGTTATAACTGATAAAAGTTCTATTTTTAAGTGCTTAAAATAGTTGTTTAAGATTACTTTGGTGTTTGGGGTTGTTTACCCCCTCTTAGGCCTTGTTTGGCCTCATTTTTGTGCCTTTTTTGTGAGCTCCGGGACCACCTTGTATTGGCCTTCTCACCATTGAAATCCAGAGGGATTTTAGTGGTGGGGATGGTGTTTTGAGGTCCTAAGAAGGAGAGGGCCATCCCCTCTCCTTGTTGTCTTCAATACTTGTCATATTTGCCTCATGTGTGAGCACCTTGTTTAAGTTCATGTTGGCCATGTCTTAGTTGATATTTGGTATTATTTTGCCATGATTTACCTCTGTCCAAAGTTGGTTTAGACATGCCATGTATGCTCCATGCACTTGTCTTGTAATCCCATGTTTTGGCCTTAACATGCATCATGTTATAACATGTGTTTTTAGCATGATTTTGGCTCAACTTTGTGAAGTTTCTAGCCTTGTTTTAACATGTTTGAGCTCTGATTTTGGTTGTTTTGGTTGTCCATGACTTACTTTGTATAGCTACCATGCAATCTAGCTTGTAGGCTTTGAGTTTTGACCCCCTTAGCATGCATTACTTAGCTCATTTAAGTGATTTGGAGTCACTTACCATGTCATTTCAGTCCATATGGCATGCTCGCTTACTTACATTTGATGCTCCTTTGATGCCTTAAAGAGTTGCTATTTTATGCTCCATGTTTGGACCATCATGTATGTCATCATGTGTAGGCCATTTAGATGCCATCTAAGTGGGTTTTGGGGCTTATTTTGGCATGATATGATTCTGCTTTGCATTGAATAATCCATGCCATGTTTGGTTGTGATGGGTGTAGAGCAATGCTCCCTTTTATAGCTTTGAATACCCTTTGTTTTGGGCCCGTTTCTTAGCATGTTTTGGCCTTGTTCCATGCATGCTCTAACCTTGTTTTGGTTTGTCTTGGGACTGTTTTAAGTCCTCTTGGCCTTTTGGGGCATGGTTGATATGGTCATGGCTTGAACCCCTCGGCTAGCCTCAAGTTTTTGGGACTCCCTTGCATGCTTTACTTGGGTAGTTTGATTGGTTTGGCACCACTCTTAATATGATTTTAGAGCTTAGCATGCTTGTCATTTGTCCATATTAGTCTCTTTTAAATGTGTTTAAGAGTTGCCTTTTTTATGCCTTAGATGATAGGCCTTTGTACATGCATGTTTGCATATCTATTCCATGCTTTTGTTGTATCATATTGGCCACTGTTTTGGACCTATTAGAGAGCTGTCCTTCTTGGTGTAAGTCCATCCTTTGCATGTTGTTGCATGCTCGCCTTGTATGTTGTTGCATACTTTGCTCATTGCATGTCGTTGCATGCTTAAGTTGCATTTTGCATCCTTGTTAGCTTGCATCTTGTCATGTATTTGATATGTTGATTACATACTTGTTCACATGCTTGAGTTGTTTGCATGCTTGTTTGCATGCTTAGGTTGCATGGCATTGTGTGTGCATTGCCTTGCCTCTTGATCACACATGATAGAGGTTAAGGTCCCTTATGCGTTTTGTGCATTTCATTTGATATCGAATTGCACGCTTGACTCTTTTGGGCCATCATGCATTGAAATGCGTTATTGATGGCCTGAGGGTCGAGAACCATGCTCCTCTAAATCTCAAACATGTTGAGGAGGGTGGTGGTGCATAAATTGCTTTAAAAATGAATTGCCATGTCTTGTCTGTCCTCTGTTGCAGCAAACCAGTATTTTGCGGGAAGAAATGACCGGTCGGCAACTTTCAGTGCCAGCCGACTATCAATACCCAGCCGGTGATCTAATTTTTGGTCGATGATCATAATTCCATGGCCGGTGGTGCTCCCTCTTGGTCGGTGGCCTCCCACAACTCTTAGGGAGTATTTCAGAAGCAATTTGGAAACTTGTGCAGTCTTCAGAAGAGGAAAACAATGCAAACAGAGGCAGCATGAGCATGGCGATGGATTTCAGGGCGGAGCCGAGCATGCGTACATTTATCCCTCTTCCCGAGGCTGTTTTACCGCTTTATTAGCTTAGTTAATTTGCTTAACTAGTTAAGTGGTCTGTAATAATTAATTAGCTAGAGTAGTTAATTATTTATTTGGTTTGTACTATTCTTTCGGTCCCTCGAGAGGGCGCAATTGTGTAATAAGCGTGCGTGTGTGTGATGCATGTCTTCCAACCTCCACTTCTTTCTCCCTTTTACTTAACCGCTTACGATGGTTAGTTCTAGGGCACGTTTCAATTAGCATCCTTATGCTATGCATGTTTGCATCATTCATCAGTATTGTATACACCGGGCTCGGCTCATCATACTAACTGCATAGTGTTTCAAATTTCAAGTTGAATACATGTGTTGAATT